AAAAATTTTTTTAATTAAAATAAGCTAGAGAAGAACAAAGCAATGTGAGAATGAGTATTATAAAAATAAGAACAAACCAAATGTCCATCAATTGGTGAATGTGTAAACAAATTATTATATATCTACACAATGGAATACCGCTCAGTAATTAAAAAGGAATAAACTATCGAAACTCCCAACAACAAAGATGATTCTCAAAATAATTATGATGGCCAGGCATGGTGTGGCTCATGCCTGTAATACCAGCGCTTTGGGAGGCTGAGACAGGAGGATCGCTTGAGACCAGGAGTTCAAGAGCAGCCTGTATAACACAGCAAGATCCTCTCTAAAACAAAATAAAAATTAAAAAAAAAAAATGATGATGATGATGATGATGATGAAAAAAGTCAGACTAACCCCTACCCCCTAAAAAGCACACACTCCAAGACTGCAGTTAGATAAAAACCTAGGAAATGCGGTCGGGCATGGTGGCTCACTCCTGTAATCCCAGCACTTTGGGAGGCCAAGGTAGGCAGATCATTTGAGGTCAGGAGTTCGAGACCAGCCTGACCAACATGGTGAAACCCCATCTCTACTAAAAATACAAAGAAAAATTAGCCGGGCGTGGTGGAGGGTGCCTGTAATCCCAGTTACTTGGGAGGCTGAGGCAGGAGAATAGCTTGAACTCAGGAGGCGGAGGTTGCAGTGAGCCAAGATCGCACCATTGCGTTCTAGCCTGGGTGACAGAGGGAGACTTCGTCTCAAAAAAAAAAAAACACCTAGGAAATGCAATGCAAACTTATCTACAGTGATAGATCAGAGGTTTCCTGGAAGAGGAGTGGCTGGAGGGATGACAAAGGGGCAAGAGGAAACTTTTAGGGGTGATGGATACCTTCATTATCTTGTTGAGGTGATGGTTTCACTGGCATAAACATATCAAATTGTACACTTCAATATGTGCATTAACTGTATAACAATTATACCTCAATAAAGCTGTTTAAAAAATACAGAAAAAAAAAATCCTCTTCCTGGCCTGGTATATTGTGTTTAGATCACCCTCTTTTCCAAACAAGCTCATATCCTGAAAAGTCACAGAACTGTAATACCTTTCCCCTGGTGATTTGCATGCATAAACAAAACCTTAAAACCCAGAAATTTAATTATAATAAAATTTAACAATAGTTAATTAATATTTACATGGCTGAACTATGTGCTAGACACTGTTACAAGCATTTTTCTTATATTAATTTATCTAACGCTCACATCAACCCTATTTTACAGATGAGGAAACTGAGGTAATGAAGGGATAAGTTATCTGATCAAGGTCACAAAGCTGATAAGCAGAGGAGCTAGAATTTGAACCCAGGGAGTCTAGCCCTAGAGTTAATTTCCTAACCCATCACGCTCTACTGCCACACACAATATAAGGGATGTTAACACTAGAAGCAACGAATATTGCACTTGTAAAATACTTTTCTTTCTCACACTCACAGAATATACATAGTCACTATAATTGGCAACACCACATGAAACTAAATAAAAAACAACAGTGGCCTTATTTTCTTTTCCCAATTAATAGATGGAGGGAGAAGCAGAAAGGCTGGACAACTTTCTTAGGACACAAAGCAAATAATTGGCAAGTTGACCAGTTACTGGGAAGCTGGTTCCTTACATTCTTAATCCAATTCTTTTCATGGTTTTCAAAATCCCGATTATTTTAAGTAACATCAGAAGGGAGAGAAAATCGAACATAACAACAAAAAACGTAAAAGTTGTTTCTGTTTTCTCATACTCTTTACTGACTCAATTTCATCCAGAGGGTCTCAGTCTCTGCAGATACAGGTCTGGAGTCTGTTTTTAAAGCTCCCAGGTGAATGTTATGTGCAGCCAAGGTCGAGAACTCTTGATTTAGATTTCTCATTACAGAAAGCCAGAAGGCGGCTGGGTGCGGTCTCTAATACCCGCTATCCTCCACTTTGACAGGCGGAGGCGGAAGGATCACTTGAGCCCAGGAGTTGGAGGTTACAGTGAGCTATGATCCCGCCACTGCACTTCAGCCTGGGCAACAGGGTTATACCCTGTCTCAAAAAATAAAAACATATATGAAATAAAACAAAATGGGAAGACAGAAGAAAGCAAGGTGCCACAAAAAGCTTTGGTAAACCAAGGCCCAGTGTTTTCCAAGTCAGTATTGAACTGCTGTCCACATGCAAACTTTGAGTTCAACTTTCAATAAATTAAAAGCACATATGTATACAAGATATGAGAAAGCAAGAAGCACAGTAAACAACTTTTTTAAAAAAACGCAAGCCAGTGGTAAATTGGATGTTAAGACTTACAGAGAAAACCCTACATTTGGGATGTTATGTCATAACAGAAGTTACATAAAAGTATATTGGGATGACAGAATCTCTTTTCAACTTTTTGGAATGCTAAATTGATGCTCAAACATCAAGTCAATGAAGTAAAAGCACAGAAAAACCTGTCAAATATCCACTGCATTTAGAACATGGAATAAATTGATAATACACTATGAATCTAGTTAAGAAGCACGGGTTGAAGAAAGCATGGGCCAGGCCGGGCGCAGTATCTCACGCCTGTAATCCCAGGACTTTGGAGGCCGAGGCGGGTGGATCACCTGAGGTCAGGAGTTCGAGGCCAACATAGCGAAACTTCGTCTCTACTAAAATTACAAAAATTAGCCGGGGGTGATGGCGGCGCGCGCCTGTAATCCCAGCTACTGGGGATGCTGAGGCAGGAGAATTGCTTGAACCTGGCCAGAGGAGGGGGAGAGATGGCAGTGAGCCAAGATCGCGCCACTGCACTCCAACCCGGGCAACAGAACGAGATTCCATCTAAGGGAAACAAACAAAGAAAAAAAAGAAAACAAAAAGAAAGAAAGGGCTGTATCTTTAGCCCATGCCCTGAATCAATGTTCCTTGAACTTTAAGGTGCCCTTCTTGAGGAAGATTCTGATTCAGCAGCTCTGGAGTGAGGCATGAAGTGTAATTCTAACAAGCTCCCAGAGGATGCTGATGCTGCTGGTAGGTGGACCAAACTTTAAACAACAAGGCCCTAAGTAACTGGAATATTGGTTGTAACACTAGCTAACTGGCTTACAAATATCGTTATGTCTAGGATCCAAGAAGTAAGTGTCAATACCATTAATTCCTACTCCCGGCCAAAAAAAATTAAAAACTAAAACTAAAAAACAGGGTTCAGGGGAAGGAGAAAGCAAATACTTGTCTAGCAGTGCTAAGAACCATAAAATACTGTTATTTGTCTCAACCTAGTAGATGTCAAGGTGATAAAGTGTAGGCTCCATGAGTTAATGGATTTTTTTAGTTAACTGCTGAATCCTTATGGCCTAGCACAAACTAGGTACTCAAGAAATGCATTGAATAAATGAATGAATGGGAAGTATATACAAACGCAATCTGTATTTACGTCACATCCCCAAAAATGTCTGGGAAGGGGGAGGTATTTGTACTTCTGGATGCAGGTAGCCATGATTTGATACAAATACCTGGCCCATCTACTGCATTCCCTTTCTCCGAAGATAAAGTTAACTTTCCTGAATAGTATTTCCACCTTAAAGCCCATGCTCATGGCACCCTGATGTTTAGCAACTTTTTGGCTTTTTGAAAACAATGAAGAAAGGTGGAAGTAGAGGGAGAAGGATTCGGAAAAGTCTCAAAAACTCAAAGCAAAAAACCAGAAGGGAGGAGATGGGCAAACAGTTCAGTTCACTTGAAGGAACATCTGAGGTTGTCAGAGGTCCATGTGCTTACCTATGATGGTGGCGGGGTTTGGGCTCGGGCTTTTATATGTTTTGTTACTGTCCAGGGTCACTGGTGGAGTAGTACCTGGCTGTGGGAACTCGGACTACACAGGTAGCCTGCGCTGCAGCCAACCTTCAGAAGCTTAGAGGAAGCACTTTCGCGCCTACTTCCTACTTCCCAGGGTCTCCGCGCGCTTTTGAGAACTCAGCCGCCGCCCAAACACAAGATGATCTGGGCAGCTTCGCTGTTGGATTGAGGCCACCGCCAGGATTTAAGATGGCAGCGAAACACTTCGATGGCCCGCGGAATCTGCCCAAAAGAAAAATGGCCTCTGTTCAGAATATCGCGGCTTTCAAAGTGGGCCCAAAACAAAAATGGCGCCGGACGCAGGCTATTTAAAGGCTGGGAACCCAATGACTGTGATTAGCAAGTAACGAATCACGGTAACTCACAGTGCTAGCAGTTGAACTGATCGAGAGAAAAAAACCGCTTTTCTGTGGTATGTCTTCTTAACATTGGAAAATGACTAGTTCAAGAATGAAACATATATTCGGTGCGAAAGATTATGGGAAAAGAAAGATAGCTTTCACAGTGCCGGATAAACTTTAATGAAAATAGCCATGTTTGAACATAACTTCCTCGATTTTTTTTTTAATGTTAAAAGAGAATAAAAGGTTTGTCCTGGAACCCAGAAGCAGGATGGGGAAATAACGGATGAATTATCTAATTTATGAAGAGTACCGAGCTGTAAAAGTCCTCGCTTCCGGGTCAGCCCTCAAGAAGAACTGAGGGCGGATGCTTTAGTAGAAGGCAACTAGCTCTCACGGCGCATGTCCATTCTCCAAACCCGATCCCGGAAGTTACTGGAGGGTAACTCCTGATTTTCGAGACAACCGCACAGAGAGGCGGGAAACTGGCGCTGAGCCAAAAATTCAAGCGTTTTGTGATTGGTCATGTCAGGCCAGAGAGCAGAGGGCAGTGGACTACTTCTTTCATTCATTCAGTAAATCATTGCTAAGCGCTCACCAGAAGGCAGAAGCTGTACCGTTTTGATATGTTATTTAAATTGTATGCGTTCTTTTAAAATTTCATTTTCAACAATTTGCTCGAAAATACACTGAATAAACTTCGCTCCCCGTTTTTTTCCGGTGACGGCCGCAGTTGACTGGAGCTTCATGGAAAACCCGGAGAAGCGGAGTGCCGGCGGCCCGGCACCGACCGCAGAGCTGCGCGTGCTCCGTGCCCCCGCGCTACGCGAAGGTTGCCGGGATCCGGGGCAGTAGCAGCGACTTGAGATCTGTCTCTGGGGCCTGCTGGCGGCGGCCTGGGGCGGCGCGGCGGCAGGTGGGCAGGTGAGAGCGCTGGAACTTTAGGTGGAAAAGCCCGCTTTCTGACCGGCCGAAGAGAGGGGAAGGGGCTTGTAGGCGCCTCCCTCTCCACCCCCAAAGGTCGCCGGTGTCCTCACTGAAGGATATTTGAGGGCGGGGACAAGGAGGAGTCTGGCTCTCTGTAGGAGGCGAAAGACCGACCTCTGAAATAGCTGCCGATGGTAAATGTTGCGGTAGGCACGGATGCGGGCGGCGAGGAGGTCTTCTACACCGGACCTGTGACTTCCCGTCCCGTCTCTCGCTGGGAGGAGCCCCGTGTGCCCCCCCCGTGACTGTCTGGAGGGTGCACGGTGTACCCCAGGCTGTCGGGAGGTGGGGGCGGCGTTCCGACGGCGTCAGAGCCGTTGTGCAGCATGGCCCTGCCAGCTGCGTGAAAGCAGCCGCGGGGCTTGCAGGGCTGTGGATCTTGTAGGGATGACCCTCTAAGGTCATGCTCATCTTCCTCCCAGATGATACTCAAATCCTGTTTCAGAGACTCTCAATATCACGGTTTCATTCATTCATTAACATCGTCAATTTATCCATGAACAGATATACACGTGTCTACAGCACTGCCGAGTTAGTAGATACAGCAATGACCAAGATGGACGTGCAGGGTCCTGACTCCTTGTTCTAGTTATGGGGGATAAACAATACTCTTCCTATCCATGAGTTCCGCCATCTGTGAATTCAACGAACTGCGGATAGAAAATATTCTGGTCGGCGGGGTTTGGTGACTCACGCCTGTAATCCCAGCACTTTAGGAGCCCGAGGCGGGCGGATCACTGGAGTCAGGAGTTTGAGGCCAGCCAGGCCAACGTGGGCGAAACCCGGTCTCTACTAAAAGTATAGAAAAATGAACCGGGCGCAGAGGAGCGTGCCTGTAATCCCAGCTACTTGGGAGGCTGAGGCAGGAGAATCGCTTGAGCCCTGGAGGCGGAGATTGCAGTGAGCCAAGATCGTGCCACTGCACTCCAGATTGGGCGACAGAGACTCTATTTTAAAAAATAAACAAAAATATTCTGGGGGGAAAAATGATGGTTACATCTGTACTGAACACGTGCAGAACTTTTTTCTTGTCATTTCCTAAACACTGCAGTGTAACAACTACTTAAATAGCATTTAACATTGTATTAGGTATTATAAGTACTCTAGAGATGATTCAAGGTACATGGAAGGATTTGGTAAGATGTATACAAATACTACACTTTTTTTTTTTTTTTTTTGACAAAGAGTCTCGCCCTGTTGCCCAGGCTGGAGTGCGGTGGCTCGATCTCCGATCTCCGCTCACTCTGCAACCTCTGCCCCCCACCAAGTTCAAGCAATTCTCCCTTCCTCAGCCTCCCGAGTAGTTTGGGATTACAGGCACCTGCCACCGCACCTGGCTAATTTTTGTATTTTTTAGCAGAGACGGCGTTTCGCCATGTTGGCCAGACTCGTCTTGAACTCCTGACCCTAGGTGATCCACCTGCCTCGGCCTCCCAAAGTGCTAGGATTACAGGCGTGACCCACGACATCTGGCCTAATAAACAATTTTTAAATCAGGGACCTAAGCATCTGGATTTGGGTATCCATCATGGGTCCTGGATGCAGTCCCCCAGATGCTGAGAGGTGATTGTACGTTGATATTGAACAAGATGTTTCTAGATTGTCCTAGGTTGGGTTTCCTGAGAATCAGACTCTGAGGAGATTTGGAGGCAGGACATTTACTAGAGAAGACTTTTTGGATGATTACCAAGGAAGAAAGGAAGCAGGATTGGGCAGATAGAAAAAGTTAGGCTGCAGTGAAGTCTCAAGGATGTTCTCCACCGATCCCACAGGAACTCTAGTGCTGGGCTGGGCCTTCACAGTTAAAGGGAAGGGCCAGGCCTTTATACCCCTTGACTGATCTGTCGTTGGATGTCTGTTGCCCTGGAAAGGGCCTAACTTCAACTCTCTTCAGCCAAGTCAATCATGGACGGAGGCTGGCCCTTGAGGTCTGTCTCAGCACTTCCAGAATCTGGGGAAATAAGCCTTTCATTCCTTAGAGGGGTCAGGGTGGCACATCACAGCATTCACCACAAAGGTAGGGCTTCGAAGGAAACACATGTGCTAGAGAATAATGGGGAGGGAGAGGGAAAACACTTAGGTTGAGTGCTCAGAGTAGGTGACATCTGAACTAAGCTGAAGCAGAATAAGCCATCCTCTGTGGAACAAAGGGAGCAAGATTCTCTACTTTTCTGCTGTGCACTAGGAATATAGCAGAGAAGACAAGTGGCTGCTACCTTCTGTTATAGTGGGTGGCAGTGACTAGTTTTTCTAGATCTTGACTCCCTGCAGTAACTAAAGATGGAGTAAGTAAAAATGGATTGAGACTAATTCAGAGGAGGATAGAGGAAAAAATGAGAACTACAATTTTGAAAAATGAGTCAACTTGGTAAAGACTTGATCTATACAGTTTTTGGGGGGAGTTTGGTTTGGTTTTTTGATCCTATACAGCATTGAACTATGTTTTATTAAGATTGTCCCATTTTCTTCTCAAACCTGTGTTCTCCTTGAGGACAAGAATCATGCCTTACTCTTCTCGGTAGTTCCCCCCTGAGCCTAATAGTCTTGCTAGCATAATAGACACTACGTGAGCATTTGGATAGAATTAATCTCATACATATTTGAAGTGAAAATTGCTAATCCCTAAATGATGTGAACGTGGGATACATGACTGTGTTTGGATTTGTCTTTACAATATTTCCTCGCCTTATAAGTTAGAACCCAATTTTAGTCAAAATATTCAATGATAATATGTAATTGCTTCGATCAAGCAGGAACCTCCAGGGGTGCCTATTTTTATATATGATTTGTATAAGATAATATACTCCCGATAAAAGTAATGGCTGCGTGTACTGAGCACTTCCCACATGCTAGGCACTGCACTAAGCTATGAATGTATCTCGTTGTCTTCATAATGTGGCCCCGTGTTTCAGATCATGATATTGAGGCAGGAGAGAAGTAATTTGTCCAAGACCATAACTAATTTGTGATGGGAGTTAGAATTTGATTCTCACCATTACTCAATGCTTTTGCTGTTAAGTGACCAACAACATGTCTGAAAACGTAGACCAAGTTTCAGTCATCATAAGATTCTCACATTTGATCACTTAGCTGCCCTATTAACTGTTATTAGAGAAATAAACCTGAAATTATTCACCCTGTCTTTGCTGCTTTGCTCTGTATCACTTTTCTGACTTTCTTCATAGCTTTCCTGGCTCTGACTTTAGAAGCTTGACTATTATCTGTCCTGTAATATGCTAGAATCTGATTACCAGATTCACTCTACCCTAGTCAAACCCCAAAGACCTCAGAACCTCTCTTGAGACTCTGGGTATTTTTATTCATAACTAATGAACTGAAACTGCCCAAAGAAGCAGGCCCTGCTTTATGGGGACTGCTTCCCTTAGTTTGGGCATTAATTCTAATCCTCTCCCGTTCTTGCTATACTACAGGTTAATTCCAGTAATGTTTTTTTCGTTTTGACATAATCAAAATAATAATATCTAACAATTACTGAGCCCAGACTAAGTGCCAAGTATTGTGATAACTGCACAGCAAGCTTGTGATATGGACGATTTTATTCACATTGTACACATGATGGAACTGAAGCATAGTGAGATTAAGTGACTCATCCAAGGCCACACAGCCAGTTGTAAAGTGGTAAGTAAAGATTCAAAGCCAGGAAAGCCAGGTAGTATGAGTCCCAGCTCATCCCTTAGTCACTACATGACAATGCATTCTTAAAAATGATTTAAAGTGCTTAACTTTCTGAAAACTTGTAGGCAGAATCTAGATCCTAGTGGATTTTTCTTTCTGCTGTACTAAGAAATTTAGATTTCACTCTAGTCAAAAATGTCACTAAAGGCTTCTAAGCAAAGCAAGAATACAACCAGATTTGGTTTTTTTGGTTTTTGTTTTTTTTTTTTTTTTTTTGCAAGATGGCTATATTAAAAGTGTAGAGAATGGATTAGTGGAGGTAGATTGGAACAGTGGGTCTCAAACTTTAGCTTCAGAATTACCTAAAGAATTAATTAAAACACAGATTACTGGACCCCACCCTAGAGTTTCTGACTCAGTAGGTCACGGGCAGCTTGGTAATTTGCATTTCTAATACATTCCCAGGTGATGCGAATGGCACTGTTGAGAGGACCACACTTTGAGAACCACTGGAATCCAAGCAAGGAGGGCATGTGAGAGGGCATAAGGGTCTGGACTGTGACCCTAGGGAGGAGAGATTATGTAAAGAAACACTCATATCAAATGGCAGGATGTGCTGAGTGAGTTGAGGAGGAGCATGAGGAAAAGGGCAGAGTCCACTATATCCAGATTTCTGAATTGAATGGCTTAGTAGATAATGCTTTTTGTTAACGAAACAGGAAATCCAGGTGGAACAGCGGTTTGGGAGGGAAAGAGGACTTGTTTTTATATGAGATGAATTGAGACTATTTGTGGGGACGGTTAGTTCAAAGGTGAACAGTAGCAGTTTATTATGTGGGTCTAAGCTGGAGATGAACGTGTGAGAGCCAGAGTGGATGCATGATCACAGAAGTTTGGAGATTGAATGAGACCGCCTAGGAAACAAAGACTACCAAAGACAGATCTTTGATAAGGATGAATAGGTGGATGGAAACCAGCAGGCTATTAAAGGATACTAAGAAGGAGGAGTATAGAGTCCTGAGTACTTAGGAGTCTCAACAACACATCAAAAGGCTACAGAGAGATTATGTAAGGGGAAGGATTGGTGATCTTTATGGTCAGACCACTTTCCGTGGAGAATGAAACAAAAGCAGATTGCTTGGGTTTGAAGATGGAATGGGAAGTGACTCTAGGAAAAGATGCATTATTTGAAAGGAAAGAGATTGTATAGTACTGGGAAGGAAAACTGGTAAAGGGCAGTCGCCTTAGGGAATTTGTTTTTGACTCTTTTCAGTGGAGAAAAATAGTCATAGTTATGCAAA